ATGCATGGGATTAAAAAAAATGGATGCAATGTTAATACAAAAGTGCAAATACAAACTGAATGCATTGAATAAAAATAATCAAGGGAATAGTTTAGGATAGGTTATTTGAAAATAGCAAAGCCACGAGGGCTATCTGCCTAAAAGGAGGAATGCCTACGTGGAGGATTTTCTGAGGGAAACTGGCTCGTATTCACGTTATACATTGATTAAGGAATATCATTTACCGATCAACTAATCCTTCAGACGGAAAAAATTCGTACAAATAGAGGAGGAGTAAAATATGAATGTTTCTAAATTTTCAGAACTTCGTTAAAAACAGCTAGGGGGTAAAATACGCGAGGAAATACGGTAGTATATTTAATGACAGTACATATTAACAAAGTTAATGACAATATCTACTGATATTTTTAACGACAATGTATAATGTATTTAATGACAGCTTTACATTTAATACTGTCGGGCTTGAATATTATTATAAAGAATATCAATAAAATAAATTTACAAACTTTTTATGCGGCTGCCGTGAGTTGTAGTTTAATCACAATACATTTAATTATAAATTAAATATAACACCGGTTGCATTATACCTGAAGCAAAAGTAACAACTGAATTCTCAATAGAGTTGCGATGTTAAGGAGTAAATATAATGTTCGTAATGCAATGTACAGGAAACTAAGCGGATCTCGACACAGAGGCAATTTGTCCATCTGGAACCGATGAAGTAATAAAAGTTTAAAACTATTTTTCTGAGAACAAAGTTGTGAAGTATAATGTAACAATATTTACAAAGGAAGAATTAAAATTCCTTCACGTGAGCTGCAATTCGTTATTTGAATTTACGGCCAATTAGCACTGAAATTTAAATACATTCACGTTTCTATCAAAAAATTTGCTTTATTTAACTGCTGCATTTGGTATCAAAATACCAATTTTAAACAGATGAAAAATTTTTATGATAACGTTTATAATATACGCACGTATGAGTAAAGTACATAAATAAAATGTATTTGTACCTTTATTTCATGATTTTTAATACATGCGTAAACGCACAGTTTTGTCATAAGACCCTGGTTCAAGTGAAAGGTGGTTGGTGTTGGTGGTGTATTTAACTATGGCAAAGCACACTAGGGCTATCTGCCTAAGGGGAGGGATGCCTTCGTGGAGCACCTTTCTAAGGGAAACTGTGGCTCGTATACACGTTACACATGGGGAAAACCCTGAAAACGCCCATGCAGCCAGCCCGTCCGCGGGATTTGAACCTCGGACCGAACTACCAGTGTTCAGCGACTTTACCGCTCGGGCGCTGGTGGGCCCCAAGTGAAAGACCAAATATATTCAATAGTGAACTAAGTTGTCGTGAGCAAAACTCTCAACTATTTTCTAATCGCTACATATTATTTCATTACACACCTGAATGCATCAGACTCCTACATAGAATGTATAGTCTATTACGACAAAATAAAATTGACATTCTGAAATTTTGAATACTTAATACAGTTCTATTTACAAAGACACATCTACAATAACAAAATCTCTACTTATCTTTATGACGAGAATAAACATGGACTGCTTTTCCTAAACCTGAAAACTCTTAGAACACGAATATCACAAATTTAAACGCAGGGGACCTCTTTTCTGAACCCAGCAAACTGAAAAATCTAATATACGCAGCGGATTTTATGTCATTCAACAAAAAATCAAAACTCCAATTTAAAACGCAATGCTAGAAATTAAAATTAACTTTATAGCGAGATACTCTCAAACACATGAAAGCTTTTTTAATGCTTGTGAAAATTTCTGTCATTATGGTTACCACTGCCATTGTTGGCAGGCTCATTCTGGCATATAAGTGAGAGCCACAACATCCTCCCACCTTGATTTTCTCAAAATCAGATTACACAAAATTTTCTAATATTAAGTACCAGGTATAAAAAAAACTTGTACATTAGTAAGAAAAGTGTGAAAGAAAAATATGATTAAAACACAATATAAATGCATACGACATGTTAAAATGAAGTCAACAAAGAATAAATTGAACAGAAAAACAGTCATTACAAAACATAAAGCTTTAATGTCCAAAACCTCTATACTATATATAGTGTTCCAAGTTTTTTTCTTGGTTTTAAAAGTTTCCCCTATCTATATCTGTTTTTAGTTACCAGGGTCGCTGGCAGCTTGAAACTAGTGAATCTTGTTTTCTAATTTATCTTACCAAATATCCACTGCTGGTTTTCCACTTGTACCACTCTCGTTGCACCATATCTACTGCTATAAATTTTTACAATTTTGCCAATGGACCACATTAAACATTTGTTGTTCTTTAGGTCTATGAAGACTACGTACCCAAATTTTACTTCTTGACATGAAACACTGGCCCTCTGCACCGGTTGGGCTAGATATTCCTTCTGGAAACGACTCCTCAGTTGGCCCGCACATTCGATTTCTAAGAGTCTGTGGAATTTGGTACACCCCATTTGTGCTATGTCTTGCAGAGAAAAAGAAGGCACGAGTTCTTCTGAAACATCAGAGATGTAAGTTAAGGGACGAATGTTTAACCTCTTCGTCGTCCGTAACGCGTCTAGCGCGTTTAAGTGAAACTTCCGGAGTTTGGCCGTATTGCGCCTCAAGCGTTCTTCTACAGTGAGAGATGGCTTCAACGTCTACTCAGTAGAAAAAGAGAAAAAATGAGGTTGTGAATTGGAAAGACAAGAAGGATATACGTTTGATGAGTACAGTCCATAATAACTCGATGATTGATGTTGGAACACGGAAAAGTGGATTAGATGTTATCAAATTATCCTGCTGTTAGAAATAAGCAGAGATATTATTATTTTTCCATTATGCTTTATTTCCTTATAATTTTACTTAATATTCATTGACATTCATCCACTACGAAAGTCATGTATGAAAAGTTATGATGTACAAAGAAAACAACAATACAAGCTACGGAAAACAGACGGCCGCTGGGGGGAAATTTTCGCGGACAGGAGAGGACGGCGAAAGGGTTAATGTGGATTCAACATCGCGCAGTACAGTGAGTAACTCTTCAAAATTCACTGACAATCTTCTTGAAATTTGCACGAGAAACGTCCTGATCCTACTTAAATTTATACTTACAAATGTAAGCAGTAAAGTCTAAAAGCATCCGCTAATCAAAAGCGTCTCAAAAGAGTCTTTGGAAAAAGTAAATCAAAATTTAGAAAAAAAAAGTACCCATAAAAGTAAAATATATTAATAAATGATTGGCAATATAAATTCAATCATGTTTTATGAAAAATTGATTTAAAATGCCAAACAAATTTGGAAGCCTGGATCTGTCTATAATGATGCTCGTGTTACACAATGTATTTAATAAAAATCCACACATAATCACATACTTCATAACACATTCACATCGAGAGGCAAAACCAGGGAAATACGCCTTACTTCCAAATATAGCCTACAGTTTAGTGGGAAGGAATCTGTGCAGATAAATTTTTTTCCTTTTAGTAACAAAAATCAATATCAAATACGGAATTTTTTGGGGGGTTGGGGTACAAAAATCAATACGGGAGTGGTTTTTTCGAATAAGACAATACATAAAATACGTTTATAAAACCAATTTTCAACGAATGAAATGAAACATGAAAAGTGCAGCTACGGAATGTTACTGTAGATGACCTTCACATTTACAGAATGAGGAACACTGGAGATATGTCAATAAGGGGGTATACCATTATTATTTCTGAGTGACATATCGCAATGAAACATTCAAAAGTAGAAACTACTCATAAAACTTTCAACATGAAATTACTTTCTTTTGCTTTAAAAAGTACTGAAAAAGTAAATAATTTTTTAATAAGTGACAGTTTAGATATCTCGAATAATTTCATGGCAAATGCTGAAACTTAGATTAAAAAAAGTCAGCAGTATCTATTAAAGCTTTCTAAATCATAACTAAATTTTCAAATTAAATTCTAGATATAATTTTAGATATGATTTATCTTTACGGAAAATTAAACTGATTAGAATAAAAACCATGTATTAAAATTTCCAGTTGGGAAATAGGAAAAATAATATCGCTTATGTATACCTTGTTATGAAATACAAGGTAAATAAATTTAACAAGGTAACTATACCTTGTTAAATGTTTATGAAATTTCTTATGGAACAATCGTAATTCAATGAAAAATAATTGTACCTATTGCAAGGAAAATCAGAATCTGTTTAATAAAACTCGTATACTATAATTTGAAGACAAACTCGAGAGTTAATAATTCTTAAAATATGAGAAATATTAATACATCTATGCACTGTAAATTAAATAAAATTAAATATACATCTAAGATAACAAACATTCCGTTTTATAGATTATACTTTCCATCATTTGAATTAATATTCTATCTAGTAAGCAAGTCATATTTTTATTTCACTGGTACAATGCAAATAGGCTGGACTGTGCGGGAAAGGCATTTTATAAAAAATTAAATGGTAAGATATTTTATTGGCAAAGTGTACTTTAAAAATCTTTTCGAAGCGATTTTCTTGTTCTGTAATTTACGCGGTTAGAAACATAGATGCATCTCATTCGAGAAGAAATGAAAAGAAGGTTTTATTTTACTTCGGAAATGGAACTAAGAAATTCAAAGTTGAGTTATTTTCTCATGAAAGCTATGCACATTCATTCAATGCTCTGTTATATACAGTTTTACAGCAGCGGTTTAAACTGAACGTATAACTCAACATAGTTATGCAAATCACAAGCAAAATAACTTTTCAGATTTTTTATTTAACCATTTTCATGGTTTTCAATCATGATCAACTTGAGTTCATGCTTTGTAATCATAATTTGGGACTTAACTGAATCAAGTTGCATTGTTTAAAGTATATATTAGCCTAATATATATGATTAGAATGCAATCCTTTTACCGCAAATTTGACAAACACACGAGAAAATAAAATTTTAAAACACTTCATTGAAAATACAAAAAATATAAAGACTATAAATAAAATTGGCGTACCTAAAATTTCCTCTTGGTTTGGAGCCACTGTTTGTACCACCAGGGTAAGTTAAAAATCCGGCTTCACTTGGAATCGGTGGTGATTCTGAAAGAAATTTACTTGAATCAAATTCCACATACGTATAAACTCTATACTCATATCTACACTTATATTGGATAATATTAGTAATCTGACCTAAATATATAGATATGATAGAGGAATATATATCTGACCAAAAGACTTCATAACCGCATTTTCGTTTACTTAATCTGAGCATCAGAAGTGTAAAGAAATAAGCAAAACCATGAGCAAATACTTCAGCATCAAATAAAGATGGAAGTGTGTTCTTTTATGCCAGTAATGTATCCTCTGTCAAAGTCGCTGAGATAATTACACGTTTGTCTTACTAGACTTTTACCCGCTTCTGAAATAAGGACATATTATATTATGCTTTTTGCAGTGGGTTATGTTTAGCAAGTTTTTAAGGAGGAAACTTTTACGATTTGTGTTCATGTTTTTTGAAAAACTTTGGCTATTAAAAGTTTTCAGAACTGAAAGGGCTTGAGGTCTATGAATTAATGTCAAACAAACTACTGCTACCATTATTAACGGTATCCATTCGAGATTACCATTCATTTGCGGGAAATAACTTAGATTTATTTTGTTAAAGTTTATTTCAAGAAAGCTTATATTATCTCTGCAATAGTATACAGCTAATGCTAGGTCAACATAATCTGATTAACTGCAAAAGAACCCGATAACTAGTACAAAACCGCAACCTAAACGAGGCCATCCAGCTCTTTCGTAACGTCACCACCAACAGCGCGAAGAAATCTATCCCATTCGAGGGGAAAGAGCGCACTCTTCATGGTGACGTCAGGAGAGGGCAGGATGGCCTACGCATCATAACTCTATAGGGCGCATGTTAGGTTTACGCGGAGCATGTGAGCTACGCCTGTCTAATCTAGTTTATAGAACAGCTCTAGAGTCTCTTGATACTTTTGAGTCCCACGATACCAGATCTTCAGACGGATATGGAAAGCCAGAGAATTAGTTACCATGCGTCCACGTATTAGTTAAGCATTTTCCTCTATCTCTCTATATATACAAACCTCGAATAACTAGTACATAAGTGCATGTTAGTATGCTATATTTAGTATGAATTAAATTACTTCGCAATTTAGAATTACCGCTTTATAGCCGTCTGTTCACAAATATCATTACGTTGAGAATAAACACGTATATTAAGATAATTTAGTATTTGTGATATAGGGTGGATGGGTGTCATCCGTGCGAGTTCTTGCTAATTTTCCAAAAGTATTCGAGAAATTGAGAATCGAGAAGCTGTCAGAGCATATGTATACCTTGAAAAACGGAGGAGAAAGTTATAAGAATGTTCAAATATTCTACTTCTTTCTAGATTACCCCTCACAAGGAAGATCTGCCAACTGTCAACAACCGACAGGTTTCAAAGACATACAGCTGGCTGTATACATTGAGAACGACATTTAAAACTAGCTGCTAAATATCTAAATATATTCCAAAAAGTTATCAAATATGAAATTTTCAACCTCAAAAGGGGAACTGTGACAAAATTTGACAGCATTTTGAATTTTCGGAAAGTTACCAAATTACATATACATATTTTCAAACGCTAATTAGATCTTCCCACCACTGGCCCAGTTGCTAAGACCACAGGGACACTGATAGTTAGGCCCGCATTGAAATCCCGGGAGACGGGCAGGCCTAGCGCTTTCGTGATTTTCCTCATATGCAAGGCGAACACAAATTAGTTTTTCTTAAGAAGGTTCTCGACGAAGGCCTCCCTGCCCTCAACTAAAGAACTGTTGTGTGCTTTATGTTTCTTTTGTCTTAACTTAGCCAATTTACACCGATATTGCAGCTAATTTTTTAACACCCAGTGCTTCTAAACAAGCAAAATCCACTAGCAGATTTTATGAATGGTTTACACATTGATCAAATTTATAATAACCAAACTGGGCTAACAATTTCAGACCTTTATCGGAAATGCTTCCACAGTCTCCTCAAATTTGCAATTTTTACCTTGAAAGCAAAGTGATCAAACTATTTATGCTTTTAACTTTAGCTAGCTTACTGTGTACTAGTTTTTATATACATATTTATATATAAAAGCAAATCACTGCTGTAGCAGAGCTGTGGTTAGAATGCAAACTGTTTTATACAATTCTCGATTTAATACTTTTATTCAATTTGGTATCTGTACACACTGAAAAATATATTACTATTCTGATCGTTTATTCACCGACCCTGAATCGCACTGTATATTTAATCCGTAACCAGCGTATTAATTAATTACAAGAAATGTAAATTGTTTGTGCTGCGAGAGCCTATCTAAAATCGTATTACTACATTCGTATTGCATACTATGCAATACAAATGTAGTAATACGATTTGTATTGCATACTATGCAATACAAATGTAGTAATACGATTTTCAAAACCTCATTGAACGCTGGTCCATTTTATTAATTACTTTATTTTTAATTCTTAATTACTTCTTTTCTAAGCCCCATTGAATTCGTTCATACTGACAAAATTAACACCTCGCATGAACTTGCCGCTCTTAAAAAAGAATGAACGAACACATTTGTAACTTGCAACATATTTGTTTTTAACAACAAATAAAAGATAAAACACGAAATTCATTACAAGAATAAATACATCCAAATTCTATCTACACATTTGTCATTTCACATTTTCTTTCGGAGGATCTATAATCCGGGCACACCAAAAAACACAATTTTGAAACTCCTGGAAACCACCAAATAGCACTACATCGGCAAATATCGTTACAATTTGCATATATTTTAGTTGTTTACAGGTCTACACTATTTTAAAGCCTAATATTTTTATCATGTATTTTCAAATCAACATATACGCATATGATATTATATAATTTATATATTACAGTATAAAAATATTATTCAAATACATTGAATCTCATTTACATCCTCATGATAACATTGAATCAGATTTTGATTGCATTCCTCTTCCTATATATTTTGTAATTTTTGTGTTTTTCGTACCTATAATTACTGGGTGACTATTGGTTGATTTTTTACATATTCATATGAAATATTGGATTTTGCTGGTTCTGAATTTCATTTCCTTTGCGTCTTTGTGGATTTGGTTCTAAATTTCATTTCCTTTGCGTCTTTATGGATTTGGTTCTAAATTTCTAATTGCTTATCTTTTTCTCTCTCTTTCTCTCTCTATATACAGGTATTTAATTATTAATTTTCTATTTATGATTATTTCGTAGGAATGATAATGGAAAACCGTTGCAAACTGAAACTAAAAAATGTTAATATGTAAGAGGACTGTGTTAATACTATTAAAAATCGTAATAAACTTAATTATACCTGGATCATTATAAATTCTTAAAAATTCAAAAGAAATTGTCAAATAAACTTAATTTGATCAAAATTACAGTGCGTTAAAAGTGTAACATATTTTCCTTGTCGAACAAAACTTTTCCCAATCGACAATAAAATTAGCACAATTAGGGTCGCGCTGTCCATGGTGAGATAATTATTTGATTTTCCTTACGGTATGTACCAGTGTAAAGCCGGGTAATGCAGCTTGGAATTTTTTTTTCAGATACGATTCAGATCGGAATATTTCAGAAAAATTTGGTAAGCCAAGTAAAAATGAATGTGGATATTGTTGACTAGATTATCAGAATACAGTCTAGAGATTTTGATGAAATATGAAATTGTTACGCCCGTTATTTTGACAGACTTTTCAAAATTAGAATAATGAACCAGAAATAAATTTTGATAGGTAAGCACATTTTCAGAACAATAGAAGCTAAATTTGAACTAAAGCACTTGCACTTTTAAGACTTCCAGTAATTATAACCAAAATTTCGTCATTTTAACAGGTTTGATAGCACTAGCTCAGGAAAATGTACATATCCCATAAAACTGCATTTGAAACCAAGATTATTTTGAAGGGGCGCCTTGGCTTGTAATTGGTATTTATAATTAGTCCAAAGGGGCAATTGACCCAGAAGGACTAATAATTTCGTTTTGGCATTTTGCATCGATACACGATAAGCGTTGTTTCACTTTGCAAATAGTTGCCACTAAATATTATCGCCATGTATTATACTTAAAGAAATTAAATAATGAAGAATCTGCATGAATGTATGTTTCTTGCACTGTGATGAAACAACGGTATCTAGAGGCATCAAAATTTGAATAACGTCATTCGTTTTATTATCGATTTCATATTTTGTAACATTTCGACGAATTTTAAATTAAAAAACTAAACGATTTCAAAGCAAGGAATGGCAACACTGTACGAAAAAAAACATTTTTATCTCCAGCGCGCGAGACTTTGTATCGGAAATTCTAAAGATATTCTCATTTTATAATTATTTTGCGATATTGCTGTTGAAATGAATTTTATGGTTTGAGTACGTAGAACATGATATTTAATAAATAAAGGTAACACACAAAACGTTAAAAAAAACGCCCCATTGGACGCAATTTCAAATCTGGAAACCTTTCAGATTTAAAAAAAAAATTCTCTCTTATTTCTAATACACAATAACCATTTACCAAACATACGCCCTGAAGTCACGTTATACTTAACCCGTAATTGGCCGGTCCTATTTATCGTCGATTAAATCGCCAATAGTTTGGAGCATGTGAAGCTAAACAAACGATCAGACACATCGGTAATGCGACAATCTCACGACCAGAACAATATCGTTATCTTAAGCCAGTTTGCGTGACTACTTTTCCAATGATGACTCTAATCATTAGAAATCTATTCCGCTTCCATTACGCCATTTTTGAAGACATCTGTTACTACTTACGAAGCAATATAAGAGATTATAAAGTATTTTATGTGCTACACCGGAAATTATAAGAGTAAATTATAGATCTTCCAAAATCAGCACTCATTTCGATGTAGATTGATAATATATTTTATGAATGGTCTTTCAGAAATTAAGTGGTTAAATAAATGGAACTACTGCGATTTCGAAACATCTACAGCATTGTTCAGATCCATACCAAAAATTCAGTGCATGCAAAGTTATTTATTTACATCTTA